CCTCATTTTTCACCTCAATTTATAAGAAAACCATAAGGCCATTTCAAGCAAACTCCACACCAATGTATAGAGTGCACTTCTTACTAACATATTATAAAAAAAAAGCAAAAAAATAATAATAAAAAACACATAAACCGCTTGTGCATCCACGCAGCGCTTAATAGCGCTTGGTGGGGAATTTTTGGTTTTTTTTTTCTTTTTTTCTTTTTTTTTTTTTTTGGTGGGGGGGGGGGGGGGGGGGGGGGGGGGAGAGAGAGAGGGGGAGAGGGAGGGGAGGTGGGTATAGATGGGGTTAATGGGGATTTACATGGTTTAAAGAGATTTAAACAGTCTTAAAAGGATGTTCCTTAGTTTTGTATTTTTATTTCCTTTTTTTCCCAATTAAAGCAGTTCTGTTCGACCCCTTAGCAAAAGTTGTTTGCATTGTGATTCTATTATTTACACAACATTCCCCATACCCTTTTTTTTGGGGGGGGGGCCCTGGGCCTGCCCGGCATCTGGCTGGGACGTTGCCCAGGCAAAACATTCCGGGCAGTCAGAGGCAGTTTGGGTGGATGGATAGGTATCCCAGGTTGTAAGCAAAATAATTCCATCATAAGGTGGAATATGCAAGAGAGAGTTCAGGGGAATTGAGCTGGTTGCTTTCAGTTGGTAAAAATTCCGTAGTGAAAATAATGACACAGTGGAACTGCTTTCTTTTGCAAGAGAAAACCCTAACTGCAAGGACACGGAACAAGAGAAACACAAATCACAAGCACCATGAACTCTCTTGACCACCACCATATTGCAATCAGACTAGCAGCAGACATGACCCCGGATTAGAATGTTCTGTGAGGCCCCATGAGCCTCTCAGCAGACAACAAAGGAAAAAGGCTCTGAATCCAGGCCAAAAAAGAGTGCAGGCCTTGTCAGTGCCTGCCGGCTGAACAGGAACCAGGCTGCACAAATGCTAGGTCAACACAGTACTGCACCTTGCATCCAGCCAGCACCTGCTATAACTGGCCTGAGGAAGAAGACCAGTGTCCGAGCGTGTAGAGCTGCTGTCAGGAGGGTAAATCCTTAGCTTGGGTAGATCATAGAGTAGGTGGCCATACATGCTATTAGAGACAGCAGCAAGGGCTGAGGACTGTTACTGTCATTGTATTGGTTGTTCGGAGGCGAGAAGTGGGCTTTTCATCATCAAAGAGACCTCAACATCGACTGTTCTTGTGCTAGTATAATCCTTACTTTTCTGGTTTCCATGAGATACACCCAGGCATTCTGTATCTTCACGGGCCAACCTGCTGATGCACACGGGCCACCTACCTCCTAATGAAATCTCGAGGTTAGTTGGCTCATTGGAATACTGGGTAACTGGTTGGCTGACTGACAGACTGACTGACTGGTTGGATGGGTGACTAAGCACTCTAGAAAAGGAGGGAGGAGAATGGGTACACCAGGCTTCGTCAAGCAAGGCATGATTCCCAATGGGTTCTGCAGAGTTGGCTCATTGCCATACTGGGTGACTGGTTGGATGACTGACTGACTGACTGCTTGGCTGGATAGCTAAGCACTGTAGAAAAGGAGGGAGGAGGAAGGGCAAAAACTCACCAGGCTTCATCGAGCAAAGCAATGATTCCCAATGGTTTCTGCAAAACAGTATCAACCAAACAACACATTCAAATGTGAAATTAACACAATATCCTATTTCTGAATTGACATATCACTCAGCCAGTTCATCCACCCAGGCATCAAGAAACAATATCGTGTCAGCGGGTGGCTCCAGACAAGATACAAGAATGACAAATGAAGACATCAGATTACATCACCGCTTTGCAACCCATCAAAGCAAAAGAGACAAATGTGGCACAGTTAAACAGGATCAGCTTGGAAGTCGAGAAAGGGACACATGTAAATAGGTAATCGGAAGTCACGAGAATGAATTAAGAGCATGTGACACTGTGAATGAACGATTTAGGGCAAGCCCGTTACAGCATACAAGGCAACAACGAATTACACAATGGATGAACAGATGGCTGGCTGGCTGGCTGGATGGATGGATGGATGGAAAGATGGGTAAAAGTAGGTTAGTTAGTTAGTTAGACAGACAGATAGATTGCATAGATGAGATTAGTAGACAAACAGATAGATAGATTGCATAGATGAGATTAGTAAACAGACAGAGAGACACACAGAGAGAGAGAGAGAGAGAGAGAGAGAGA